AAGAATCTGAAGTGCACTTGGCATCTCCTTTGTATTGCCTTTGATTGGGAGCAGCGTTGGCCTCTTATCTCATCCTGGATTGACAGCAGCATCAAAGCGCTGACATCTGTGAATGTCACACGGGAGCTGTGGTGAGGACCCGGACCCTGGGACCACAAATAGCTCGTTTTGGCCCCAAAACGGCGGTGCCGGAGCAGCGCTGCCACGGGGACGGAGCAGTCACCAGCAGAGGGAGCGACAAAGCCAGCTCAGAGATCCCGGCCCGATGGCACAGGGGATTTGGGGAGTTTTGGTGCTGGGTTAGTGATTTATATGAAAATGTCCCAGAGAAGGGTAGATTTATTTTTTTTAATCCAACATGGGTTAATGGTGATGTTGTTACTCTCTCCTGATGGCAAGAGAGCCAGGTTTCTGTATTTTCTGTATTACTCAGCGTTAGAAATGCTCACTCACAGCTTCCCAGCAGGGTCCTGGGAGGGCTGGGGGAGTCTCCCTTAGCCCCAGGTCCCCTCCTGTGCCCGTGCCATCGGTCCAAAGTGTGGCAGGCAGAAGGGACAAGGGGCAGTGGAGGTGGGTTTTATCCAGTGCTTCCCAAGGGCAGTGTTAACAGCACCTCCCAGCAAAATCAGGTGGGAAACAATTTCACCAGTGCCAGTGCTCACTCCTAACACCCTGCAATGTGCTCCTAGCTCACCTCACACAGGCAGCACCACTGACAATCCATCCCAGTGGCACCAACCCAGCCCTGCTGGACTGAGACAAGCCCAAATTCTGTTTCACCTCTGTGGAGGGGGCAAACCCCATCCCACCAACCTGCTGGGCAAGCACCAGAAGGGAGAGCAGCTATTTCCTCCCAACAGGCCTTCACCTCAAACTGTGCCAGCTGAGACTCATCAGGCACGTCGGGATGGGCACTGGGACAAAGCCAAGAGAGCCAAGTGCCCTTTGGTCAGGGGCCAGCCATCACACAGAGGTCAGGGATGCAGATGCACTGGGGACCACACAGGGCTGTGTATCCCCCAAATCCTGGCAGGGAGCCTGGCTAGCAGGGGGAAAAGTTCGAGTAAGGACAGCACAGGAGCTACTGCAAGGAGATGCACAACCAGAGAGTTTGCTCTAGCTTCACACTCTCAAGGTCCAGCCCAAGCTGGAAAATCCTCAGGGTTTCCTGGATTTACACCCATTGTTGGGACAGCAGAGCATCACTGCAGCTCTGTGTGATACCCAGCTCCTGCTGCAGTGGGAGCAGGGAGCTTGTGCTGAGGCTGCAAAGCTAAATTTACCCTGGCCCGGGACTCTGCTGTGCAGTGGGCAGGGCAGGGTTGGGCACTTGTAGCTGGCATGGGAAATGTGAGGTTTTTTGAGATTCTGGCGAAGCCCCAAAGTGGCTGACTCACTCCTCTCAGGTCAGTTGTTCACAGCTGTAACTCCAGTGAGACCAGTGGGTTATTTCTGATGTGCTTTGCTGTATGATCACAGCCCATTGCCCTTGCTGCTGAAGGTTGCCTCCTGTCTCCGGTGGACTTTATTTAGCTTCCACTTCAAAGCTGTTCTGTAAGAGGCAAACCAAAGTGAAAAGGGTACAGCATTTCTTTTAGCTGGAGATTCCCCATCTTGAGTTATCTGGTGACTTTGAACTTGTTAGAATCAATGAACTTGGGATAATCAATGCCCTGTGCTCCCTGTCAGCTGCACACAGTGGATGAATTTGTCATTTGCTGCTAGAGATGACTTGGCATTTGTGAGTTGTGTCAATGGATGCAAAAGCAGATTCATTCTAATTATATCAAACCATTGATTAACTTAGTAATTTAGTCTTGAAGTCCTAAAGGTCCCTCTGCAGTAAATCATGCGAGTTACAAATAAAGTGCACCGAGGAGAAAGAAAGAAGTTAAATGTATTTATTAGCTTGAACACTTGGAAGGCAACTACCTGGACAAAAAAAGCCCTGGCACATTTCTGCATTTCTTCACTCTCCTCTCTTGTATTCTGTTAATACCCTACTAAAAATGTTGACTTTATCACCTCCATCCTGTGTTTTCCATGTGTAAATGGCAGGTGTGCTGTAGGGAGGCTGTCAGAGGTTGGCAAGGACTTGGGTGCATGGAGATTTCCAATTGCCAGCTCCAAGGCTGGTCTCTGTAGTTGCCTCATTGCAACAGATCTATTTGCTTATGGAGCAGCTGTGAAACTGCAGCAGATTTTAGGTATCCATGGGAGTATCCACGCATTTCACTGTGTGGAATAATGTGTACCTGGTGCTCTGGGCAACACTCTGCAATTAGTTTGTGGAAGCTGTTTGTCTCTGAAGACCTATAAATACACAGACAGAGAACTGTGGGAGAATGAGCAGTTACACACTTGGAGCAAATGCATTCTCAGGCAGCAGAGGTTTGCAGGCTGATCACATCTGCCTGCCACCCCCCTCAGCGTAGCTCCACCACTGATCTTCCTTTCATTTCACGTAAAGCTGACCAAAAATATTTACTTTCTGCTTTCACATGCATAGAATAAAAAGGATGGGGAATTTCCCAGTGAAATCAAGGGCATTCACAGTTCAGTGACAAGCAGCCTCCACTGGGCTGTATTTGTTACTTTGCTCTCCCTCAGAGAAGGCAAAGAAAGAGAATAAAAACTAAACATTTCAGGCAGAGCTATGAATTCCTCTCATCAAACATTGTCCCCTGTGATACACTGACATCCTCTGAGCACCTCCAGTCAAAAGTTCCATTTTACAAACCAGCCTTGCTCCCCAAACAAGCACTTCAACTTTTCAAGACACTTTTCCCCATAAACGTTCCTTTCCCCCATTCCTTCAATTCCACAGAAAACACCAGAAGTTTGGTTTCTTTGCGCGGCGCTCCTCGTCCGGGTGAGTTCCCATCCCACCTGCGGTGCTGTTAACCCTCGGCGTGCCGGGGTCCGCCAGAAACTCGGCATGGTGGGGGATGTTTGAGTAGAAGTGAAGCAGGATCCTCCCCGCTGTGCTGCAGCTGAACCCAGCGAGAGGAGGAGGAGGCGACCCTCAGGGGCAACCCCCGACTGTCCCAGCCCCGCCCGGTCCCTGCCCACTCCGTGCCCGGCCCGCCCGGAGCTGTCCCTTCAGCACCACGGGCGGGAGGGGCGGCTGGCACGGCTCGGCTCGGCTTAAAATATCCCGGGCTGGCCCGGGCAGGGCTCGGCTCCTTCCAGCTCGGCCTGTCCCGCGCTGCCGGCGGAGGGACGGGGGCTGCTTTGCGGGGGGAGAGTGGGGTGCGTGTGTGCGTGTGTGCGTGTGTGTGTGTGTGGGTATGTGTGTGTGTATGTGTGTGTATGTGTGGGGGTGGGTGTGTGCGGGTGTTCTTGGGGTGCGGAGGGGCTGCGGGGTTGAGCCGCACCTGCGTGTGCGGGGAGGGGTGCGCGGGAAGGCTCTGGGGGTGCAAAGCGTGCGGGGCCACGCAGAGGTGCGGGAGTGGGTGCGGGGGTGAGGAGGGAGCGGGGCGGTGGATGCTCAGGGTGCCTGCGGGTGTGCGGGACGCCTGTAGGAAGGATTCGTGCAAAGGGAGTGTGCAAAGGGAGTGTGGACAGAGCGTGCTGAGGGATGTGTGTAGGGTCTGTCGGGGTCCGCGTGTGTGCGTGCGTGTGCGGGGGTCGCAGGACAGAACTCCGTGTGGCTTTGTGCGTGTGTGGGGTGTGCGGGGCTGTGTGCGGGGCTGGGTACAGTGTGTGCGCGGCGTGCGGTGTGTGCGCGGTGTGCGGGGTGTGCAGCGTGTGCGGGGTGTGCAGGGCTGTGTGCGGGGTGTGCAGGGCTGTGTGCTCGGTGTGCAGGGTGTGCGGGGTGTGCAGCGTGTGCGGGGTGTGCAGGGTGTGCAGGGTGTGCAGCGTGTGCGGGGTGTGCAGGGTGTGCAGGGTGTGCAGCGTGTGCAGGGCTGTCTGCGGGGTGTGCAGGGCTGTGTGCTCGGTGTGCGGGGCTGTGTGCAGGGCTGTGTGCTCGGTGTGTGGGGTGTGCAGGGCTGTGTGCAGGGCTGTGTGCGGGGCTGTGTGCGGGGTGTGCAGCGTGTGCGGGGCTGTGTGCAGGGCTGTGTGCGGGGCTGTGTGCGGGGTGTGCAGGGCTGTGTGCAGGGTGTGCGGGGTGTGCGGGCTGTGCGGGCTGTGTGGGCTGTGCGGGGTGTGCGGGCTGTGCAGCGTGTGCAGGGCTGTCTGCGGGGTGTGCGGGCTTTGTGGGCTGTGCAGGGTGTGCGGGGTGTGCAGCGTGTGCGCGCCGCGCGGTGAGCGCGGGGCCGGCGGTGCGGTGGGTGCGTGGGTGCGAGCACGCGCCTGTGGCAGCGGGTCGGGCGCTGCCGCCGCACACACGCACGGACACACGGACACGGGGACACACGGACACACGCACACATCCACGGCAGAGCTGCCGGCGGGAGGAGCCCGGCCGGCGCTGCCCGCCCTCTGCCCGGTGAGTGCCGCCGCGCCGCGGGACCGCGGGAGAGACGGGGAACCGGGAGGGATCGGGAGGAACTGGGAGGGACCGGGGGGGACCGGGACCTGGGGATAGCCCGGAGCAGGGGTCCGGCAGCGCGGCCGCGGGACACGCAACTTTCCGGGGAAGGAGGGAGTGAGGGACAGAGGGAGCGGGGGAGTGGCTGCGGACCGAGGCCGGGGCTGCTCTCCGGGCTGCCGGGGGTCCGGGGCTCCTTCCCCTCCCTCCCAGCGGAGGCGCCGTCCCTCCGAGGCCGGGCAGGGGCTCCCGTCGGTCCCGCCGCTGCTGCCGGAGCGGTGCCGGTGCCGGTGCCGGTGACGCGCTGCCCAGCCCGACCGCCCCGCGCTACGGCCGCTTCTCAACTAAGTTGCGGATAAGAAGCTCTCCTTGAAGGGCGATCGCTGCTCCGAGCCCCCGCTGATCCCCCTTCCCCACACCCTCTTTTGCAGGCAGGGCTGATCGCAGCTCGCCATGTCCGGAGCACTGGAAGCTGTGCAGAAGGCTCTGCCCCGTTAGCCCAGGTTACCCGGGGGGGGACTCAGCCATGGATTCGTCCCCCCCAGAACCCGGGGCCCCCCCTGACCCTCTGCAGCTCTGGCAGGAGGAGAACCAGACCCAAGGCGGGCTCTGGAACGGCAGCCAGGAGCTGGGGTGGGAAGAGCTGGAGAAGATGCTCTTCCTCTTTGCAAAGGAGCCTGTCACCATCAGCCTCACGGTGATGTACTTGCTGTCCTTTGTGGTGGGCTTCGTGGGCAACATCATGTCCATCAGGGTGCTGACCCGCAAGCGCCGGAGCCGCGCGTCCAGCCTGAGCGCCACCCGCAGCCTCCTCATCAACCTGGCAGTGTGTGACCTCATGGTGGTGTGCATCTGCATGCCCATCACCGTGGGCAACCTCATCTACAAAGCCTGGGTGTACGGGGACTTCCTCTGCCGGGCAGTGCCCTTCATCCAGGCCGTTTCTGTGTCCGCCAGCGTCCTCAGCCTGACGGTCATCAGCGTGAACCGGTACTACAGCGTGCACAACCCGCTCAACGCCCGCTCCTTCTTCACCCAGAAGAGGATCCTCAGCACCATCCTGGTGGTGTGGTTGCTGTCCTCAGGGATATGCATGCCCCTCATCTTCATGAACAAACGGGATGAGATCGGGGTGGTGGAGGGCTTGCCCCTGGTGTTTTCCATCTGCAGGGAGATCTGGCCTCAGGAGAGGCTCAAGCAAGCCTACAACTTTCTGCTCTTCTGTGCCCTGTACTGCCTGCCCGTCCTGTTCAACATGGTGATCTGCTTCCTGACGGTGAGGCGCCTGTGGAGCCGCAGCAGCCAGCTGAAGGAGAGCTCTGCCCTGAACCGGTCCCTGCCGGCCTCCAGGCTGAAGATCCGCAGGAAGGTGGCACAGATGGTGGTGGCCCTGGTGCTGCTCTTCGCCATCTCTTGGCTGCCCGTCTACCTGATGGACATCTGGATTGATTTCAACATCCCCAAGTCTCTGCAGGATGTGACTCCTTCTCCTTGGATCCTGCAGCTCAGGCCTTTTGCCCAGTGGCTCGGCCTCACCAATTCCAGTCTCAACCCGATATGTTATTGCTTTGTTGGGAACCTCTACAGATCAGCCAAGGAAATGAAGAGCAAATACCACCAAAGGATGATCTCTCTCTTTAACTTCTCTCTGTCTGAAGGGACAACTCATTCCTCAGTCCCAGAGCTGCTCTCTTACCGGAGTTCAGTGGAGCCTGCAAGGAAAGGACCCTCCAGCACCCCCTCCATGGACAGGAGATGTCAGGGAAGTCATGGCCATAAGAACAAGTTTGGACACTTGAACTCCTGCCAGCATCCACCTCTGAATACTGTCTCCAGTGAGAACACTTCCTTGTAATTCTGCTCAGGAAGTGCCACTCATGCCCTCATCTGCATTCCAGGACTCTGGAGATCTTTCTGAACCCGGTATTTTAATGATGGAAAAGAGCTTTCTTCTAATAACTCTTGATACCATTTCAAAAATGCTGTGACAGGGAAACAAACAGGTAATGAGATAAAAAGATGATGTATTTTAACTCAGATGAAATTTTAAGACAAATTATTTTTACTGGGGACAACTGGATGTGCAGCCCGTTGCCCAGTCAACAGTCACATAATTAGGCAGATCAAGTTCCCAACGAGTGAGCTCTCCCTGCAGCTCCATCCCTGGATGCAGAGATGCTGTTTGGGTACAGCAACGATTTGACTGCTTGCTGCTGCTCACACTTGCTGATGAAGAGCAGTGATAAGAGGCACTCTGTGCTCCAAATCCATCAGTTGTAGTTGCAAGCAGTGAAGAAAAGCTGGAAACAGCATCATAAAAAGTAATAGTAAATGGAGAATTTCACACACTTTACCACTTGAGATTTCATTGTCTGCTCGTATTGTTTCACTCCTCCACGCAAATAAATTCTCCTTATTTGAAGAGACCATGCCAGAAGTACTAAAGCAACCATCACCATTCCACATTTTGGAATTCAGAAGGGATAATGTGGCTCAGAGGTAATTTAGGAAATGAAACAGGAAAATATTTTTTTGGGCACCAGCTCTCTTTCTTACAGTGGTGCTCCTGTGTATGGAGTGGAAAGAACTGGGCATCTATTAACATGATTTGCACTTGAAAAACCAGCCTTGTTCAGCTGTGTCTGTACCAAACAAAGTCAATGGCATGTGAAAACAAAAATAGAAAGTGGTTTATAGGTAATAAAATCAGATACAAGCAATGCAATGCTGTTTGTCTGGGAAGGAGCGAATCAAAGTGCTTGCTTTTCCTGAGCATCACAAGTAGGTTAAAAACCTGTTTTGTCCATCTCCTCCTTTAAAGGAGACTTTGATAAATAAATGGTATACTTTTATTCTGTTAGCATTGAAAGACTCCAGTATATCTTGAGCATTCTGTTGTTCTGAGCACAAAGGAGACCTTTCTCCCCAAGGTGCACGAGAAAACACATCAGAAAACAGATCAGGCAACAGGTAGGAGACAAAAAATGTGCAACAAAGATGCAAAAGGATGGAATGATACCAGAGATGAACCCTTCCCTGCCCAATGCCAGGGGAGAGAGCCCATGCCCAGATGCTTGTGCCCCAGCTCCTGGCACAGCAGGTTTGTCCCCTTAGCAAAGTCCAGACTGAAAACAGCAGCGCCCCTGTGAGAGGATTTTGAATTTAAAGGAACTCAGAGGCTTATGATGACTGGGGGCTTTTTTATTATTATTATTACTGAACAAGGGAAGGATGTTTAAGGAAATCCAAGTTTCATATAATACCCTGCTGCCTTCCAGGGTGCCTTTTGTAGGCAAAAAAAATAGAGATAAGAAAATAGCCATTCAATGTAACCCTTGTAATGATCACTCAATAGTGTTTAATGTTGACAATGATCTGCCTGGGGAGTGTAAGATTCCTCCTTACCAGGCAGTGCCATCCACAATTTGTGTTCTCTTTATATGAATGAACAAGACATTACAACTACCCAGATTTATGGCTTTTATGTGTGCTGGAGATGAGAGCATCTGCATTTTTGCAGGTGATATAGGAGCATACATACTGCCTGATCTTTTAGTAGCTGTGGAGAAAAGCCTGTAGAGATTTTATTTTCTCTTTCAAGAAATATTTTTAGGGCTGGCAAAATGTGGCAGACTGAGGAGCATCAAAAGCTCACTCTGAATGCCCACTGATTCCTTGTCTGTAAAAAGATGTTCTCCATCCCCAGACCAAATGTAACATAATATTGTAACCCCAACATTGCCCTGACCTGTATATTTAATCCTGCCCTGGATAAACTACAATGAATGGACCATAGAGCTCCATTCCCTGTGGTTTCCTGGCTCTGAAAATGGACAAAATCAAGTGATGCAGTCAAAGATGCAAGATATAAATATTTTAAAGTATCCCAGAGGAGAATTCTTTTCTCTGAATTTGTGTGCTAATGCCTGGGTCCTACCTGGAAACCTCTGTACCCTCCATGGAGGAGGAATACCAGGAACTGTGTTCTCATTAGTGTACCTGGGCCTTCTCCTCCTGACACAGGTGCCCGTGCCTTCCTCCAGCCCCACAGCACTCCCAGCCACTGAAATTCTTCACAGAGGCAAAAGTCACTTCCACTTGGCAAGGTTATCTCCTCTCCACACTTCTAAATGTATTTTCCAGTTTTGTTCAGTGTCCCTGTTTTCCTATAATAAAGTCAAATTGCTCACTTAACTCCTCTTTGCCTCCTTGGTTGCCTCTTCTCTATCCCCCCACACTCCAACCACTTCTCCTCTGTCTCTACAGTGAAATCTCCCCCTGCTTTTCCCTGTTATCTCTCTCTGCCTGTGAATTCCCCTCACTCTAATGACCCATTCATGTCTTCACTCCCCTGATGAAAAATCCCTTTGTGCCCTGCTGATGTGAATGGCTCCTTTTGTGCTGCAGACACCTGTTTGCTGTGCACAACACTGATTTATTTGGCAGGGCTTTACCCGGTGGCTGCCAGGTAGTGATGGATTTTGGTCACTCTCACCCAAGGGTAAATGAGAAGCAGTGAGGTCAATGTGGAAGCCACACAGCATCCTGTGAGCTGCCCAGGCTCTGGCAGGGATTTTATTAACCTGAACAGGTCTGTGGAGCTCAGCAGGGCCTGGCTGACTCATCCTGGATCCCAGAGAGGTGAAACCTCAGCATTTGGGAAGGAGGCTTCTTCTTATAAAAGATCTCTTTATATTTAGGGCTGGTAAGACATCTGAGTGTCCTCCAGGCCACACAAGGTCCTTGTTTCAGATGGCAGGTGCTCTGATAGGCATTCAGGGGACTCCTGGTCCTTTGAGGAGCAGGGAGCAGATGCAGCTCTGGCTGGTGAACACAGATGATTTCCTCACAGGAGCTCCAGCCAGACATCCCATACTCGTTGTGTGGTTGAGGAAATGTGTTTCTCTCTGACTTTGCCCAGGCAGACTGGAAATGTGAATTTTAGGCATCTCAAGGACAATGTTTTCCCACAGCAATGCTGCTAATGCATCTCAGTCCCACTCTTCCCCCGTGGGTCTTTCTCCTCTGCTTTGCTGTTCAAATCAATACAGGCATTTTACCACCTTACAGAAATAGGATATTTAGAGCAGCCTTCCTTAGAACCACTGAATCATTTAGGTTGGAAAAGACCTCTAAGATCCAACCATTAACCCAACACTGCCAAACCATGTTTCCAAGAGCCACATCTTTTAAACCCCTCCAGGGATGGGGACTCCAGCACAGCCCTGGGCAGCTGTGCCAGTGCCTGAATCCATTTGCTGTGCTAAGGGCTCACAGGCAGCTGCTGCTCAGTAACCCTCTGCTATTCCATGATCTGTTCTCTTACTGTCAGCACTGCCTCAAAGATGTGACAGGTTTGTTTTCTGGGAACCACCAGGGAGATGGAAAAGAGAAAAAATTTTGTAGCAGGTGTCATTGAGGTAGGTACAATCATGACTGCTCCCTAGCCTTCACATGGAGATTGATGAATCACTGTTCCTTATAACAAAATACTCAGGGGAAGCCAGTGGAAGGATTATCCAGGATGTGTGAGGGCAAGCAGCTCCTCTCCTCCCACTGTGGCAGCTGCTGGGCTCACAGGCAGAGCAAGTGGTGAGGGCTGAAAGCAAAATAACATGTCCAAGAGGAGAGGACCCTCCACAGCAGAAAAGGCCATCAGCAGCTCTTTAAAACAATGATGAAACTTCTGGCCTAGAGTACATTGGGTGTATAAGCTGTGATTTCCACTCTTGCTCCTTCACTGGGCTGCTGGGCTGAGCATTGCTTGCTCTATTCACTACCCTTGTTTTTACATCCCCATGGAAAATCCTTCCACGTTAAAGAGCAAGGCAAGAGCAGGGGATGATTTCAGACCTGGGAAAATGTGATCAGTGGTAAAACTTTGCCAGGCAGAGTCACCTGGAGGCAGGGCAGGTGAATGCTGACGGAGCACAGGCTGAGAAATGCTCACTCAGGCACTGCAGAGTGAGAGCTGAGGAGCCCCAGGGATGGTGCATGGTGCCCACTCCAGTGCAGCACCACAGAACCAACTGCTCCATCCCTCTCCTAAACCCACCAGCCCTTTCAAGGGGGCAGCACTTTCACTGCAACATCCCAGAAAGAGGAATGCCCTCCAAAGGGAAACTCCTGCCTGCTGGTATTTTGGGATTTTATACATGATTCTTACAGATGCTGGCATGGAAAACAGGATGGAAGCTGGCTGGAAAGTTATCCACAACATCAGCATCATTCCTCCTGCACTCCCTTCAGCACAGCACATCCCACACACAACAGCACCTGAGCTCTTCTGATGTGAAAAAACTAAACAGTGAAATATCTAAAAGAACAGAGACTGCAGGACTTGCCTGGGTTTCCAGTGTCTTGTGATGCCCTTGCCAGGAATCAGAGATTTATCACTGTGAATCTTCTAGGAAAAGCCAGTGCACCTCAGTTTATATTTTTGATTATATTTGTCATGAAAATAAATCCCTGTCAGCTGCTAGAAGAGCAAATAAAAGAGCAGCTATGAGCAGGTACCTCCAAAGAGATTGGTGGAGCCCTGTGGGAAACTCAGCCTCCAGGGAAGTACTGGCAGGCACAGGGATCATGTAAGACTTTCCCAAAATTTCTGGGGATGAATGATTGCTGGCTAGGTCGGCCCAGGGGTACAGGAACTGCAGGAGTTGCTTTCTCTGCCTGCTAAACATCTTTAGGGCAAGTCCTCAGACTCAGAACTGACTCAACACAGCTGCAAAGTCAGTGCAGCCTCGTGTGGCTGCCACCCCCAGGCTCCTCTGCCAGGCCCTGAAGGAGGCTCCTGGCTGCCCTGATCCAGGGATTTCTTCCTCCTTCACTTGAAACAGCCAGGAAATATTTTAAAATATTTCAGAAAAAAAAAAAAAAAAATTAAAAAAAAAATGGATGCAGCACTTGCAGAGAACTTTTTACTTTTTTCCAAGTGAGGGATCTACAGCAGAGTGTTCCTGCTTGGTGTCTCTTGCTGATTGCAAGGCACCCCCAGAAGAAATCAATGCCTGGAGTGCAGTGGTGAGGAGCTGGCTCAGGACTGCCAGAGCAGGGGGCACTGATTGCCTTGGGATTATCCTCACCCCAGGGGGAGAAGGGGAACTCTCATGGAGCTGCAGCATGACCTTTGCTTTTAAACATTTTCTACGTTCAGCCTTTTCCTTCTTAACTCATTGCACTCTAAGACAACAGGTTTATGTTGCACACTGAGGGGTGGGTGAATTACCCAAGGATAA